GTAATATGTCAAACAGGTGCTAGAGAGGCCACTGGCTGAGGCCAAGGGAGTTCTGGTTGGCCATGCAGCTTGGCCTAGAATAGGTACTCAGTAAGTAGAGGCTAAATAAGTAAATGAATGACACAAACAATGTAGGTGTCACACTGAATCAATAATCAAACATATCTGGGGCTATGATAACATATCTCAGGAGTTCTAACCTGCTTCAGGTCCAGGGAAGTCTTTGCAGAAATGATGACCTGGCCAAGATCCAGGGGATAAGTAGGGAACAGTGGCAAAGAGACTCCTACAAAGAAGGAACAGCTCAGACAAAGGTTCTGAGGGAGCAGGAAGCACAGGAGGTGCCTGTAGAGATCTAGGAGCTTGAGGGTAGATAGGAGAGGAGGCCTGATTCAAGTGTGGTGGGCTGAGGACACAGCTCCAACTCCTTCCCTGGAGCCATATGGGGTCACCAAAAGATGTACAGCTACAACTGGTGTGGTCACACTGTTGACATTCCAAGCTGAAGTCCCACTAAGGAAGCACGTTTGTGAGTGTCCAGCTACATGCAAATGTCGGGAGCTGACAGGTTTGCCTCATCTGTGGTTGAAATGTGAAGGGATATACCTCCAACCTACTTTAAATGCACCTTGACATCGCTAAGCAATGCATTTTATTTAACAAATACTGGGATTGTGCTACAACCTGCCAGGTGCCATGAAACATGCCACGTTGCATGGCTCATTGTAGAACAGTCTCTCCAGTGGAATCCTGAGACAAGGAGAAAGGAAGGCAAATTTGGGAGGATTTGCATTTTTAAAATGTCCTTAGGACATCTGCTAGATTGATATTTGTCTGTGTCAGATTTTGAAGATGTTGCTTCTTTGCTTCTGGTTTTCACTATTACTGCTGAGAGCCACACTCGAGTGATAGTTTGGCTGGGTATAGAATTCTGTAGTCTAAATTGACCTGCAGAACTACTGTTGAGAGGTCCCATGACATCCTGTACCTTGATCAGTTTGTTTTTGTTTGTTCATTTTTCATTTCTGGAAGCTTCTAACATCTTTATCCATGATATTCTGAAATTTCACAATTGCCTACCTTAAAGTGGATTTCTTTTGTCCTCTGCTGTGTTGAACATGTGGTGGGTTCAGACAAATAAACTTGAGATTTCAGCTGTGGGAATTTTATTGTTGAGCAAATGTTATTTTTATTTCCACAAATATTACCTTTCCTGAGTTTTCTCCATTTTTCTCTTTTTAAAACTCTTGTTATTTGAATGCTAGAGACTGTGAATGGGTTCTCCACTTTTCTTCTTTTCCCTCTTATTTCAATCTGTTTATCTTTTTGTTTCACTTTCTGAGCATTCTTTTTGTGTCCTAAACATCATATTATTTAAAATTTTAAAAAATAAACTTTTCTTTGCTCTATTGATTTTCATTTCCCAGTGTTTTGTTTGTTTCTCATTATTTTCCCAGTCTTTCTTTTTTTTACAATCTGTGGGCTTTTTTTTCTTGGATTCAGTGTCTGCTCATCTCTATGATGATGTAACTTGTAATCTTTTGAAATCCATTCATCATTAAAACAGGACTCTAATGAGAATTCCCACGGAGTTGGATGGGGCTTGTCAGTTGGTGGAACTTACCACAAGATAATCTTGTAAGAACTACTAATTTTACTGAGGGGCCCACAAACATCAGAAACACCTCCATGTTGCAGATAAAGGACCAGTCACTGAAAAAATAGCCTACTCACCACCCATGTTCCCACAGGAGGTCACTGATGTAGCTGAGATCAAATTAATAACATCTCATTCCAGAAGTAGTTTCTAACCCACTGAGCTACACTGCCTCTTTTAAAGCAGCAATGGATTTTTAATAACTACTTTATGCATGCCAGACACTGTTCTAAGCACCTAAAAACATTAAATTACTTTATTCCTCATAACCCTTTGAAGGAGGGACTCCTACTAGACCCAAAACAGCAAACAGAAGCACAGAAAAGTGGGCTAACTTTCCCAAGTCACACAGCTGAGAAGTGTTTGGAAAGGATGTGACTCTGGACAAACTGGCTCCAGAGACTTCTCTGCTTGTCTCCAGGAATCAGTTTCCCCAACTAAGTGATGGCCATGTGTTTCCTAACTCAGACAATTCCTTTGAGAGTGAAATAAGAGAACATATGTGAGAGATCTCCACAGAATAGACCTCAGTAAACATCATTTGTATTAGAGAGAAGGGGGAAAAACTATTGCCCCTTTGGGTTTCAATTTCTTTAAAGTAAGAAGCTGTACCTGGGACTTCCTGAAGTCTCTGCCATTATCGTACATGGTTTTAAGGGAGGGGCTGCAAAACTGGAGTGGGTCTGACTCAGAGGGATTACATGGGATAGGAATGGGGGTGAGGTGGGCAGCACCAGGGGGAAAACCAGGAGGTGGGAGTGAACCATGCTCTGGAGCCATCTTCTGGTTCCTTTCCAAAGCCTGGGCCAGGGCATCATGTCTGTGTTCCCAAAGAGTTGTGAAGTTCAAATAACAGACCCCAACTGACATGTGAAAAGAAGCACATGTGACTTCTTACCAGCCAATTAATATCTGGGAGGGGAGAAAGCCATAGTGGGGGAAGGCCCTGGGGTTGCAATGAGCAAAGCATGATGGCCCTACTTCCTGCCCTGGGGCTGAAATGGGCTATTATGTGTCATCAGGAAACTTTGAAGGAGGGAAAAACAACCCCTGATCAAAGTCTCTTTTGTGAAGTTGTAACAGATTAATAGATGGCAGACTTTGTATTTTGAGCCCTGCTACAAGGTCAAGGGCAGTAAAACAGGGCTTATGAGGACTTTTTTCTCCCTACTGCCATTCTGAGAGCTAGCCTGCATGCAAGAGCTCTCTAAAGCTCAGTCAGCCTGCGGTGGGATTTAGGGGGAGAGCAGGGACTTCGCCCTAACACAGACAAATCAAGCTTTCCCATCCCAAGCCTCTGCCCTGCTTGGGCTCCTACCTGGGCTTCCGCCCTCCCCATCACATCCCTGAGCTAACTCGGTACTGTGACTGCACAGTGGCCCTGAAGGAAGATATTTCAACAGCTAGCGCCTAAATTCCTTGAAGTTCTGGCCTCGCCCCCTTGCCCCAGGACTGTGGCTGGACTACTCCCAGCTCTCCAAAGGTACCTTGCTCTTCTGCGGCCATATCCTGACCCTCTCTGGCACACTGCTTTGCTTCCTGTCAGCTCCCTATACATCATCCATCAAGGCTGTATCTGTGTCACCTCCTTTGGGAGCTCAGCTCTGGCCATCTCCCTGCACTGCCCTCCAGCCCAAGAAGAAACTGCTGCGTGACCCTAAACCCTTCAAACATGCAGCCCCCTGCGTATCCCGACTCTAGGGCCACAATCTGTTTACAGGTTCAGCAACCCCACGGGCTGTGTGAGAGACCTGTGTGCTGCCCACCAGGGACAGGGCTTCTTATCGATAACACAGATGGATGGGTGGCCACGGTGTCTGAGTTCGGAGAGAAAGACCCTAATGGTGAACACATTTCCAAATTGTTATTACCTTAATAATTCCCACCCCTGGCAGAATCTGTGACTTGTTTTTAACCAAGGGGACACAGTCAAGGTGATGGGACGTCACTCTTGTGATCAGGTTGTACTATTTTGGCAAGGATAGTAGGACGCTGATGGCATGATTATCACTTTAAATAAACTGCATGTTGAACCTGCAAGCTGGCTAAGCTCGAGGTGGGAAGCAATCAGGTAGAGGAAACCCAGGTATCCAGAAATAGGAGGTGGGAAGCTTCTGGGAACTCAGGGTGGCCTCGAGGCCACAGCTAGTGTAAAGCCCAGGGGAGTGGATTCAACCCACATTCCCAGGTGAGCTCAGAAGTTGCTGCTTCCCATAGAGCCTGCCAATGAGAAAATAGCATAAGGACTGCTTACATGAAAGACACATATATTTAATTTCATGCTTATTTCAAAAGAGAAGTGTATGGGTTAGGGAAGGAGGATAGAAAGCTGTACCAAATTTTGGGCTATGGTAGTCATCTATTTGCACAAGAGAGAAATTTCCCCTCTCTTTCCCATTTCCTGACGGGAATGTATTTCCCAGTGCTTGGGATAGAGTGAACCTTCCTCTTCCCTTCTGGGTCATATTGTAGCCGCAGAGTACCAGCCAGACGTATGGACAGGTAGTCCAGGAGAATGGAAGATGTACCCAGAAGTTTTGGAGGCAAAGTGTACAATTTTATTTTTAACATCAGTTGGTCAGTCTGGGACTTCTCCACAAAGAGACTGACCCCTCCTTCAGGGTTGAGCAGGGCAGGTTATACTCTCAGGAGGGAGTGGGCTTGCAGGAGTTAAGCATTTTTCATTGGTTACATAGAACACAAGTCATTTGGGCCCAGAAAATTCACAGGTTATCAGATATTACAGACAGCAAACTCAGTGCACAGTGCCACATGTCATTTACATTTGACAGGGAGATAGAAGTAATAAAACTGAGAACAAAGAAAATTCTTGAGATGCTTGAGAGGAAGTGTCCAGAAGCTGGACACGTTGAGGGAATGGTGGAAAACTTTTCCACCAGTAAGTTTGGCTTGAACTGCAGAGAAACATGTTACCTGCTCAATATGGCCCAGAAGGGCTAAGCAAAACAACCTCAAGTCACTGACTATTAATTTGTTTAGAAATGAGTTTGGTGGGCCAATCAAATTCCTCCAAGAAGACTTCACTGATCACTTCTAAAAGAACTTTCTGGTAGGGTTGCTGAACTGATAGGATGTGCTTGGGGGCGGCCTGGAGCAATGGTGGCTGCCTTGTGAAGAAAGAGTTTGAGATCTAGAGAGGGAAGCACTCTGACCTTTGAATCAGCAATCTCTGAAATCATCTGCACTAATTTGACCTAATAAATTATCTTTTTTGCGGGGGTGATTTGAGGCAGGGTCTCATTGTGTAGTTGAGACTGACCTGGAACTCACAAAGTAGCCCAGGCTGGTCTCCACCTCACAGCGATCCTCCTGCCTCAGCCTCCCGAGTACTGGGATTATAGGCGTGCACCACCATGCCCGGCAATAAATTATCTTTTTATTTTAAATCGCTTGGGTTAGATTTCTGTCACTCATAACCAAAAGAGTCTTAATAAGTACAAGATCATTTTTCAATCTCAGCATATAAGATAGCTCTGAATCTCCTGGAAGCCAAAGCAAAAAGGGAAACACATTGTCGCACAGAGCTCTCTTTTTCTGATATCTGAGAGCCAGAGCAGCAGAACAAAGTGCCTTTTCTCAGGGGCTTGTGCCTTTTTCTCATGGTCTTTTCAATTGGTGGCCCAGAACATCTTCACAGCTGTTTTAGAAGTGACGCAGGAACGTTCTTGATGTGGCTGGCTGCTTTTTCAACAGGAATGTCGACAAAAAGCAAACTACAGAAACGGAGAGTCAGTCAGTGTTCAGGATGAAGACCTCCTGGAGTTTCTGCCAGTGAGGTAAACAGGCCCAGAGGCTTCACCAGTGCTTTATTTTCCGTGTGCTCAGGGACCTCCCCAGGAGGAACCCTCCCAATGCTGCCCTGAGCTTTGACTTAGACTCATCATTTCTTTGGTTGGAAGGTTGTGTTTCCTTGGAAGGGATCACAAAGCCATACTCCATTCAATGCTAAATAAACAAATGTTTGAATCTGTGTTTTATTGGTTCCATACCATCTGCCATCTGGATTGGGGGAGCAAGGAAAACTGTGGTTTTGTTGAGCTTGTATGTGTGTGTGTGTTGCTGTTGTTGTTTTTTTGTTTTTTAGTTTAGTTTTTTTTTCCTTCTTATGAAAATCGTCTAAGGTTGAGTGCTGGCAGCAGTAGGGGCTGGTTCAAAGCCACCCTGTTCCCCAGTTCCCTGTGTCTTAACACTCAGTGAAATGTTGGAGGCTGGTTTGGGTCCCCATCTGCTACTCAGCCTGTTGTGTGAAAACTAGATCTATACATATGCAGAGTACCAAAGCCAGGCTCTCAGGATCTGAAGAATCAGGATGTTCAGAGGGAGCTGTAAGAGGCAGCTACTTAATTTTGAAAAGCTGCCCCTGGAGTTCATGTTGGGGGCAAAAGTGGCCCAGGAAAACTGTCTGAGGCCTGGGGTGCTGGGGAAGGCTTTGTAAAGACTTGAAGGAGAGAACATGGCCCAGACTGCGTGGAAAACGAGCCCCTGACTGCCTGGGACCTTGAACCCGAGAAACTGGGTGGCTGTGGGGGAGGGGTGGGCCAGTACCTCAGCATTTCTTGTGGCCCAGCTGTTGGGTGGCTCCGAGGTCCTTGAAAAAAGGAAAAAGAGCTCTCAGAACTTTATTTGTTATAACTTAAACTGGTCCTCATCTCGGCCATCTATAAAGTAGAGGTTGACTTGGGTACAAGTCACCTGCCCAGATGCCATAGGGCCAGGGAGCATCAGAGAAAAGGGAGGTAGCTAGGTGGGACCTCGGCAAACAAGTCCTGGTCCAAGGGCAGCAGCCACTCTGATGGTGGCTGTGCAGGAGCCCGGCCCGGTGTGGTCAGATTTTCCAGATTTTCAAGAAAGGCCAGGTTTGTGGGTTTTTAAATTTGTTTTTAATGTGAAAATGTCTAATGTTTCAATATTGGCAGCTGTTGAAATTATTGGAAAAAATAACTCTGGCCAAATAAAACCTGTCTGCAGACCACAGAAGGCCCTAGGTCTCCATTAGCATCTCATGTGGAAGAACTCAGTGAGAGAGACTTGCGAGAAAGCCATGGACCAGGACCATGACTTCTCTGAGGGAGGTCAGGAGGTCCAGCCTGGCCCTTGGACTCAGTCCTTCAGCAGCCAGTGTACACCGCAGGCACCATGGAGTTCTCCTCCAGGTGCTGGCTTCTCCAGGCTCAGGACCTCGCATGTCCTCCCTGCCGGACTGCTGCCTGTGTCATGTGTCAGGTACCCGTGTGCTCAGTGACTTGCCGCCGTCCATGCGCACCCACGATGCCACACACATTCCCATGACTCACACTTGAGTAGGCATGCGGTATGCTGGCGTCTCTGGAGCTCGCTCCCGTCCCAGCTACAGTCGTTCTAGAGCCACTACAGTGAGCAGTTGGTGATCTGCACAAAGTGACACGCAGCCACACCCTCTCCAGCCAGATGTTCTCTTCTTGCTATGACATGAATATCTTTGCTATCTCTGTAGCCAGAGAGCTTTTAATTTCTTTTTCTCTGAAGTTTTATTTTATTGTGTTTTCTTTCTAACCAGGGTGTGAATTCCTTGGTTCATTCAAAGTCTCCAATGAAAAGACAATAGAGACTTTCATCAGTAATAAAACCTACATATTTCTATGTCTAATAATATAGGCAAAACAAATTACATGCATTCTATTTTTTTTTTTACAACCTAACATTTACTTGGTACAAGTAATTATACTATGTATTACACATAGGAAGCATAAATGCACATTAAATCTTGGTGAGACATTGAAACAACAGCAACAAAGCAGGAAGGAGACTTGGTCTCACACTGGCCGCCATCTTGCTGTGTGGTCTTGGGGCCAGGACACTAAGACTCCTCTGGGCCTCATTGGCCTCAGCTGCCACCTGGATGAGATGGTGGCTGGAGGCTCCTCCCACTTTCCTTCCTATGGGGTGAGTATGGGGGAAGGAAGCCATCGGAACATGGGGAGGCAAGCACAGTAAGGACTCATCACCAAAAAAGCCACAGGGGAGCAGACTGTGCCTCAAAAACCAAGTGGGCAGAGAAGACACACAAAATTAAAGACTGTTCCCAGAAATAAGAATAGACTATTTATTGACTATTGGGCGCAGAGTTAGGCCCTGTCTTTCTCTGGGTCCTTGAGCCCAACCTAACACTTGTGCGGAGGTGGTACCTTGTGGCTGTGGTGATCACACTCGCAATCATCAAACAGCTTGGTTTGGGCCAAGTCCCTTCCACCCCCAGGCCTGCCCTGTGAGGGAGGACTGTTTCCTAGAGTGGGGAGAATGAAGTCACTGGCTGAAGTCCGGTTGGTAGAGATCCACACCCAGATCTCAGGGTTCCTACCACCTCGCTCCCTCCAGGTCTCCTGCAGAGCAGTGGCGATCAGTGATTCCCAACCCTCACCCTAGGCAGCCAGGCTGGCTATGAAGGTGGCTCTGAGAAAACCCAGAGATAGTTAAAGAAAATAAGGAGCTGATACAGACCTTCCCCAGAGCCTACAATAGAGGGAACACCACACATCAGATTGAAGAAAATCTGAGGTGATAAAATGAAGAAGTAGATGTTGTTTGATTTTTCTGATTTACATTGTTATCTGATTCTCTGGGGGGAATTCCTCCCCCAACCAAGCCCACCCCAGTAAGATCTGCTCCCTGTGATCTTTGGCATACAGGGTTCTAGGTGGGGGCCGTGCATTTCCACATAAGATGGGTCGTGGACTCCTCAGCATGGACGTGAGCTGCAGGGATGATGAAAGGCAAGCGACACATGTCCATGCACACACACGCACACGGGCACATGCACGCACGGACAGCCACACACACAGACAGGAAACCACATCCAGCCTGGGCTGGGCCCAAGCTGAAGAAGAAACTGTGAAGGGTGACTGCCCCACTCAGTAAATTAAGATGTGGGATTCAAACCACTTCCTCCCCCACTCCCTGTTAGGAACATCACATACCTGCTCTAGAGGGTGCTGGGGAACTCTCATGGGAGGAGTCCCTGTTGCCATCCTGCGGATGCCAGCTAAGGTGCCCCACAGACACAGCAGGTTGAGGCAGCACCAGGATAGGAATCCAGATCTGTTTTCCCTCTGGAGGAGGCCACTGGGCCCTGCCACCAAGATCCCTGGATGCTGAGTCTCCACCCCTTCATGTGTGCAAATGCCCAGGCTGCTGCCCAGAAGTGAGCCCTCGCCATTTCCTGTGTTTTGTTTCATCTGCGCCATCAATTCTAGCTGAGCGTCTGGAACAATCTCCACCCATTTCCTGGGCTCGGTTTCCTTAGAGGAGATTCCATAACATCCTCTAAGTACTATAGCCTTTTAGCCTTAGACATTTCCCCGGGGGGGCTACTGATAAATTGAGAGACACATTTCAGATAGTGCCCCACAAAATCTCTGGCGGATGGCCAACAAGGAGACCTTTTTTCTGCCACTGAAAGCCACTTGTCTGCCCCTTCCTACCATATGAGAAGGCAGATGCCTTAGATCCTGAGGTCATGGGTTCTTTGGGTTAGACACCAAAGCCCCTGAGCTATCTTCAGTCTGGTCCCCACATCACACCTCATAGGGGCACTGACAGTCTCTGCTCAACAGCCTCCCGCAGCGGGGAGCTCATGGCCTCTCCAGGCAATCTTCTGCAGTTGAGACAAGACTCAGCTTTAGGACACGCTTCCTCCCGTGAGCTGGCACTGGCCTCTCTTGTTTCACCAGAACCCATAGCCCTCATCCTTTCACTTGCAGACGCACAGGAAAATCAAGTGGCCACTGAAAGCTGCAGCCACACCCCGATGTGACTCCCTCTCTGCTCAGTGCCTCACCCACAGGGTGGAGGAAGCTGACAGGATGAGATCCAACTCCTCTTCCTGGGACAGCCTGGGTGTGACTTATGACACCTGAAAGGCAGTGTCACAGAAGTCACCAGCAGAATCTGTGCTATTTCTTTCCCAGAAAAACAAACAAACAAACAAACAAACATCCCTGCAGCTTCAGGACACAAATTACTCAAATCTTTTTCCTTAAGCCTATAAATTGGGTTTTGGGCTTGTGCTTTTTTTTTTTTTACTTGTAAGCTGTGCTGCCCCCATATTTAAGAAAACTGCAATATTAGCGGGCAGCAGAGCTCAACTTCAGACACATGCGAATGGTTTGCATTGTAACACAGCCCCAGATGGGTGACCCGAGAGAGGGTGAGAATGCACATCCTCCATCATCCATCTTAAAGACACCTCTGGCCCCCATAAAAATACACAGCTCCAGATCTCTCTTGAGGGTCCCACACTCTATTTCCTTGTACTTTTATATTTTTGCCTAATAAATCCCTTTATGCCTCTCACTGATGCATCCTGAACATTCTTTTTCTGTAACAAGAGTTAGAAAATCTTCAACTTAGTTCTATGGATAAAATGGGAACCCCTCAGGCCCTATCCAGTGGTACTTGGGTTTATTGCTTGACCTCACAGGATCTTTGTTTCTTCTTCCGCTACAGAAAAAGCATTGGAAGAGCCAACTTCTGATCATGAGAGTCAGAGAATCATCAGAAAACCTCAGAGTGGGCTTGGAGTTTGGTTTGGTTTTAGGACAGCAGTTTGCAAGGCTGGGGGCCAAAGGCACCATAGGAATGCAACGCAGCAGCAAGAGGGTGGAAACCACGAGGTGGTTGTTGTCAAAGGCTGGAGCATGGCCCACGGGAGCCTCCCCACATCGTCATAAAGCACAAGCGGGGAGCTTGGCGGAAACCAAGGCTGGAGTTAAACTTCCAGATCCAGATAGAGGCTCCATGGCTTGCTAACCAGGGCCTTAGGCACCTCAAGGAGTCTTTCCAAAACTAGCTTGCCCTCCTTAAAACAAAGCAGTTCTTCCTCTCCGCGGAGCTGTTATGAGGTGTAAGAGGACTAAGTGACCAGTACAGAGTGGGGCTCAGCCACAGGCAGCAGGGAGGAAAGCTGCCCATGTGTTCCTGTGTGGAAAAAAGAAGCCTCAAGGGCCAGGGATTTAGCTCAGTGGTTCTGCCGCCTGCCTCTCAAGCGCAATGTCCCGGGTTCGATCCCTGGTACACCTTGGTGATACCCCATGTTCTTTTGTCATAATTTAGCAACCACTAATGCTCTCCATCCTGCAACTGGCTCAGGACTACCTCTCTTTTGCTCTTTCACACACTCTCTCTAAACACACACACACACACACACACACACACACACACTCGCATGAGCGCGTGCACAATGAAAGAGAAAACCACAGTCAGCCTGGGGTGTGAGGGACAAATGCCCCGTACTATAAATCAACCCCCAGAATCCACATCGAGCCCGATCCCAGCCTCCTGCCCCAGTTGCATCAGAGATTCTGCAGCCAGTGATGCCCCAAGCTTCTGGATGGCTCCACAGGCCACTCCTATGGTGCTGGCCCCTTCTCCAGAGCTCAGGAGTACCCACAGAAGGAGGGGAGGGGGCAGCGTGCTGCTGGTCCTGGGGATACTTGGCCTAGCCCTGCCAAGGAGATGGCTGGAAAGCCTGGCCCTGGTCCCCGGAGGGCTGATGCGGGTGGGTGAGCAACAAGGGTGGGGTAAAGTGGGAACTCAGACTCCAAGCAGGCCCAAGAGCTGGGTGGCACCAGGTTAGTGGATTCTCCTCTCAGAGCCTTGTTTTTATGAAAGAGAAAGAGAGGCTTGGAGCGGTGGAAAGACCTTTTAGCAATATGATGTTGCTGAATTTCTCTGAGCTGATTGAGCTGGTTGGCTTCTCCTGAGGCATCAACTCCCATTGGGGAAGCAATCGCTGGCTATTAATTGCACGGTAGGCACTGTACTGAGCACTGGCTGAGCCAAGAAGAGAAGGCACAGTCCTTGCCTCCCAGCTGCCAAGGGCCTGCCACCCTAGGGAGGGAGGTACAGGTTTAAACAGGTAGAGGTGATTAGAGCTAACTAATGCTAGAGTGTCTGTTCCTTCTTCCAGGGATGCGAGGAAGGTCTGTAGAGGAAGGGCACACTTGAATGAAGGTTTGAAACACAAGTGAAAACTGTCCAAGCTACTGAAGGTGAAAGGCACAACAGAGACCAAGGTAAAGCGAACCAAAGATATGAGCATTTGTCCATGTGGTAGCATGGGGAGGAACGGAAGGTCATCAGACCAGAAAGACAAGCTGGGGATACAGTGTAGAAGACCATGAGTGATAGCCAACATGTTAGTACTTTATTCAGTAGCTAACAGGGAGCCTGGCAGGAGAGTGATAAGATCAGATCTGCATTTTAAACCGCTCATTTTGGCAACAGTGTGGATACCCTGATCACCAAATCATGGCGGATGGGCCAAATCCAGCCCTTGGCTTGATTTTGTATGACATGTGAAGTCAAATAATTCTAACTTTCTTACTACTCCTTTAAAAGCAATGATTCACATATCCAGGACACAAAATCAACATTAAAAATCAACTTCTTGGGGCCAGAGATTTAGCTCAGTGGTGCTGTGCCTGTCTTGCAAGTACAAGGTCCCAAGTTCAATCCCTGGTACCAAACCAAAACAAATCAACTTCTTTTCTATTCACTAACAATGAACTAGGTGAGAAAGAAATCAGGAAAATAATTCCATTCCCAACAGCTTCAAAAAACAAGTAAAATACTAAAGAATCAACCTTTTGAAAGAGTTAACTTTTAACCCAAGCATAAACTGAATAACCCCAAGATCATCTCATGAAACTGAAGAATGAAATCACTGGCAAAAGGCGGAAGTCAGGAAAGTATTTGAAATAATAATAATAATAATGACAATGATAATAGCTCCTAGTTTCCACAGGAGGACTCTGAAAGTGGAATTCCAATTTCTTTGTTTTGGTCTTATATAGATAAGCAGGGCTCAGGAACTTGTTTTAAACAGGTGGCTCCCTAAGTTTAGAATAACCAACAGGGTTTTAGGCTTTGTAATGCAGACGGTTATGGCTTTTATTTAGATGTCTACTCAAAGCCTCATGTGCTCATAGGTGTGGGTTTGGGGAGGTGGCTGGACCTTGAGTCTGGGATACAGGATTAAGGGCATGTGATATTAGATTAGTCCACTGATTGCCTTAGCATAGTTCTAAATGTGGCTGGATGGATTTATTGAAGGTAGAAGCCCCACCCTGGATGTGGGTAGCATCAACCAAAGATTTGTAACCTGGATAAAATTAAAGGGGAAGGGAGGCTTGCTGTCTACTCTGCCATGGACTGTTTTTCCTCTACCATGCCTCTCTGACATGTCAACCTGGTTTGGAGCCAACTGATTATAGACTGAAACCTTTACAAACTGTGAGCTAAAATAAACCTTTCCTTCTTTAACTGGATGTCAGGTACTTTGGCCTAGCAACAGGAAGGTAACTAAGACATAGACTCTAAAGAAAATCAGTTACTCAGCTCGCCCAAAGGAAACAGTTCAAAGAAAACTGGTTACTCTGCATTTCTAAGTTCCTCCAAGTCCAGCCCAGAGGTAGGAGGAGCTGTCATCTAAATCAGCATACTCTGCCTAAGAAGCTTCTTCCCAGGAGGAAGGGTTCTTATTTGTCCATCCTTATCCTAACTTTTTATCCTTTTTTGTGGATTGTTTGTTTGTTGGTTGGTTGGTACTGGGGAATGAAGTCAGGATCTTGCACTTGCCAGGCAGGTGCAGTGCCGCTGAGCTACATCTTTGGCCCTTTCTTTTATATTTCTAAGCTTCCCTAGCTGCATGGCTTGAATTAGCTCTTAACTGTATGTGTACTACTTTCTTTGTATGTAGCTGACTCTATTTTAGACCCACCCCCTTTATACTAAGGAAGTAAAAGACTTCTACAATAAAGGTTAAAGAAACCTGAAGAAAGAAATTGAAGCCGACACTGTAAGATGGAAAGACCTCCCATGTTCACAGGTTGGCCCTATTAATATTGTTAAAATGGCCATATTACCAAAAGTGATCTATAGATTTAGCACAACCCACATCAAAATTTAGACAAAATTCTCCAAAGAACTAGGAAAAAACCCTGAAATTCATTTGGAAACAAAGAAGACCCAGAACAGCCAAAGCAATCCAAAGCAAAAAGAGCAAGGGAGGAGGCATCACAATACCCGACTTTAAATTGCACTACAAAGCCATAGGAACACAAACAGCACATTACTAGCACAAAAATAGACACACTGACCAGTAGAATAGACTTGAAGACATAGAAAAAAAACCCACACAACTGTAGTTATCTGTTTCTTTAAAAAGAGCCAAAAACATATGTTGGAGAAAAGACAGCCTCTCTAACAAGTGGTGATGGGAAAACTGGAAGCCCTGTGTAGAAGATTGAAACGAGATCCTTACCTCTCACTGAACAAAAAAACAATTCAAAATGGGTCAAAGATCGAGGTGTAAGTCCAGAAACTAAAACTACTAGAAGATAACATTGGAGAAAACCTTGACGCCATTGGCACAGGTAAAGACTTACTGAATAGGGCTTCAAAAGCACAGGAAAAAATAGCAAGAACCAACAAATGAGACTACAGCATATTAAAAAGTTTCCACACAGTGAAGGAAATAACAGAGTGAAAAGACAACCTACAGCATAAGAGATTATCTGTGCCAGCTATTCATTCCTCAAACAGAGGATTAATATCTGTAATATATAAAGAACTCAAACACCCCCCAGAATTGATCAAGAGAATTGAACAGGCACATTTCCAAAGAAAAAGCACAAGCAGCCAATAAGTATATGAAAAAATGTTCAACATCTTTAGCCATTAGGGAAATGCAATAAAAACTACACCAAAATTTCATCTCAGCTCAGCCAGAATGGCTATTATCAAGGACACACACACACACACACACACACACACACAATGAATGCTGGCAAAGATGAGGATAAAAAGGAACCTTTCAAACTGTTGATGGGAATGTAAATTAGTGCAATCACTATGGAAACCAGTATGGTTTCTCAAAAAACTAACCTTCTGATTCAGCTATACTACACCTGTGTATGTATTAGTCCCTTCCCAGTTACTAGGAGAAAATACTCAACACTCTTGACTTACAGGAAGAGAGGTTTATTTTGGCTCACAAGTTCAGGGGATTTAGTCCATGGTAAGCTGTCTCTAAGGCAAACCCTATTCAAATATTGTGTCTCTCTGAAGTCTTTCCCTTCTTCTAATGTTCATATTTGACACACTAGACTGTGACATCCCTGTCCTTATGTCTTTCTCCTCCGCTAGCCTATACCTTTGGTCCCTTTCCCAGGAATTTAAGGGAGATTCTGGAGCACAGTCTGTGCCCTTTAAAGATGTGCTGAGTGTGTGAGTGAGACATAAAATGCTCTTTCCCCTCTGTCTTTCAATTTCAGGGGTGTTTCATTTTCGAAGCCCTCTGGGTCGCTCAGAGGAAGCTGACTCCCTGCTTCCTGCTTTCCCTCCTATTGATCCGGCGATTTATGGTACTATTGTTTCCTTTTATTAGACTGTAATGGCCTCAGTTAAAATGTGTTACATGGAAATAGGCTAATTAAGTGTGTCCAATAAGTCACCATTCCCTGCAGTGGTCAGCCCT